TCCAGTAACAAGAGTTATGTATCATCTAGGTAAGTCTATTCTTGGCAGTTTATGTCCATTTGGCATACCTTTAGAGTGATTGTCTTTCAAATTGCACTCAACAGAAACATTCTGTCATAACTCTATATTTACACCTGTCATTATTCCAAATTTTGTTGAGCAAGATCAATTTCACCACCTGAGGGTGTTCAATTGTTTCACCCTCAAACACATGACCTCTTTGTAAGTATCACTATCATCACAATAAGCTATAACCAAGACTTGTGAAATGTCCTGACCTTAGAATGTTGCAACCTTCCCCCTGCTTCCTGCTAAAATTGTCATTTTATGTACCAAAACTCACGTCCTTCAAAGTGCTCATTTCTAAAAAAGAGGATGCAAGTCTTTTTCCTCAACCAGAAACTTTAAGGACTTCGTAATTGATAGGAATCTTGTTTCCTTGAAGATTTTATTGACGTTAGTGCTTGTTCTTGTAGTGGGAAGAACTTCAAGGAGCATTTGAACAAGTAGAGTACCTTAGGAACATTCTCAAAAATCATATAGATGAAGGATATGGCAAAACTACATTGACTGGGGTAAAGTGATCCAATGCTGCTTGTCACAAGCATAAGGAGATATCAGATATGTATGTTTTTGTTATCCTCCCTAGAGAAATTTTAGTAAAGAGGATGTATATTTCTTAGAAATATTACATTTCAAAAGCAAATAAATACTATTTCCTCCTCCTCCTCCTCACACCTTTTTGTAGTAAAATATCACTTTATTCCCTTAAATCAACACCACAAATGAATTTGGCTTTTGGTAATGCAAATTCAGGACCTTGACTGACAATTGTAAATCAATTTGGTCCCTGAAATTGCTATTATTGATAAATGTGGTCTCTAACATGATCAAATAAGCCAATTTAATCCCTAGAGTTGATAACTATTGTCAAGTTGTTTCTTGAATTTGGCAATCTTTGGTAGGGACGAAATTGACTTACACACATCAAAGTTAGGAACCAAAATGACTTACAATTGTCAACATCAATGATTAAATTGATGAGGTCTAACTCAAGGACTGAAATGAGAGTGCAAATTTAGGCAACTAAAATTTTGTTTTCATAATCTTAAGGACTAAAGTTACTAAACGTGGTAATTTCAGGGACTGATTTGATATATTATTCCCATTTTTATGTTAATTTACATATAAATGATTTTGGCAACCAAAAGCTTAAATAATTCATGTATAAAAAGGAATGTGAGGAAATAAAGGAGGTCATCACCTATATTAATTTCCGTGATAAAGTATTCTTACTACTCCATACACTTTCTTTTTTCAGCATTTTTGTTTTGTTAGATGGATTTAGCTAAAAATATGAAATTTACATGGGGGGCGGGAGTATGATTGAAAATGAGTCAAGCTCAAGGTTTGGGCTAACCTAGACACTAAGAAATTTAAGGGATGGCCTGAGGCTCCCATATTTTAAATTTTTACTACTAAATATCTAAAATTTCATTATATATCAAGTATAATTATATTTTGATTAATTACTTGAAGACAAAACCAAATGATCCTAGTGTTCCTCCTAACCACTCAGTAGACATCTTGAGTATCAAAATAATTTAATTACATCATAAAAGCTTATTGAATTTTTAATTCAATATCTTACGGTTTTTAACATCAGATGTTAATGAATTGAACATATAACAGCTTTTTTTTTTAATTTAAAAAATAAGTAAAAAAATTTCAACTTACTCTGTTGTTAGCAAAGTAAGCTATAAGTAGGTTCACGAGAAGACTTGTTAAAATGGATTCTGACACGTTAGTTAACTCAGTTCATAAATGAGTTGGTTGAAAAAAAGTTATTGGCTCACTAATGTCCTCTAGAGTGACTTGACCCACTTAAAACACGAATTTGGCTAGATACAACCTTTTTTTCACTAATATTGTTGATGGTATATTTTTTATCACAACCATAAATATGAAAAGGGAAAGGTAAAGGGAACTCTAAGTGAATGCATTTGTACAGTCCTCATTTGGTTTCTTTGTTTCGGTTCTTATATTTTCATATCAATAAATATGAATGTGAAGTAGGTGGAAGAAACAAAGAGATAAAAAAGAAGAAATAGGGGAGGAAAAAAGTTAGAGATATGATAGAGAAAGAAGAGAAAAATAAAAAGAAAGAGAGAATAAAAAATAAATGTAAGACACTCTGTGCCTTTTCAGAGTCTACCATTGTTATCACTCACACACACAACACTTTGATCTCTTGACCATTGTTGATACTCGTTCACCCATCACCATTGTTCATTCATTATCATTCACTACTTTCGGCGTGTTCTTTTCATTGTGTCAATCTCATGCACACACCATTCACGTGTTCAATAAGTCTATGAGATTGTGTCTAGCTTTGTTCAATTGCCAAACCACGAGGAATTGCACTACTATAAGATTAAGGAGTCACCATAGACCAACCACGTGATCAACATTTGTTTGTCACCATTTGTTAATTATTGATCTACTTCAACATGTTCCACGACACCCCCAACCGTGAGGCTTAAAGCAAGGGCTTTTTATTTTTATTATATAAGGAGTCACCATATATAATTTGTTATTTACTTATGTATTCTATTATTTTCTCCTTAAAGATTGGGATTCATTTTAGAAGAATCGAATGTGATACAAACCTATATGTGCCTTTTTATGAAGTTATATATTTTATTAAATATTTAAATGCATAATTTAGGATTACTAAAATATATTGATTCAAGTAATTGGGAGCTTGATTTCTCTTGAATAGCGTCTTGCCTTTGAGTTTATGCATTAAAAAAGTGTTGAAAGAGTTTTCCTCACATAAATGGTTCACCTAGCTCAATTTGGACTTGTTGGAGTTCAATGTAGCGTTAAGATACCAAGAGTTTCAAACCACACTCACACACATTGAGAGAGAGAGAGAGAGTTACACCATTACAACTTATACCAACTTTATATTATTCAAATCTCTGTTTATAAATAATTCTATTTTAATACTCCATATTAGACTAAAAGTTCATATCTGTGAAAATTTATATTAATTCACAATTATTTAATAGTTTATTGATATACATCAAAATTGATGTAATATATACTTTTAAAAATATATAAAAATAAAAAATATTTTATTATACTTTTATGATTTTAAATCTTGACTATTTTTTTTTAAATTAAGATAATATAAAATATAATTCAATGATTGAATTAATATACAACACATATACATAATTAAACCAACTATGAATCAACCCAACTGAGACGGCAGACCTTAACAACTCTATAATTATGAGCTAAGTTAACTTATTGGAGGCTCAATTCATCATTGATGAAAAAATCAAGATAATGACTTATGACAAAATATACGATTTGCTATTTATGTACATGTATTCTACGATTTTCTTCTTAAGGATTATGATTCTTTGGAGATTGTTTCGTTTTAAAAAATATTTTATTTTAAATATAAATTCATTATTTTATTTTTGTTCTATTTCTTGTTTTGATAAAATTTTAATAAAATCAAAGTAAATAGAGTTATAATTCAATGATTGAATTGATATTAATCATATTCTATGTAAATTGATTCTCTTACACACCCATGCACATACAAAGACATCTCCTTAAACTTATTTTTATGATTTTATAATCAATGGCTATCCTCCTTTCCTAGTGGTAGCAACTGACTTATTGCATTACAATTTACAAATAACATGGGAAGGAAACATCCTTGAAACACTGTCGTGTTGTCCTAAATTCTAGAGACTCAGTGTTTTGGTTTTTATAAGGTTTACTTGGAGATTCTCAATCTCAAAATTCTGCTGCTTGTCCCCAAACTAGTAAGCTTCGGGGCATTTCTCTCTCTACCTATCCCTAATTGCCCTCAAGAAGCAATCAAGCCCATGTGTTTCCTAACAAGGGCAGTAGTTGACTTGGTTTAGAACAACCCCTGTTCCATAAAAACAAAAGCAATATCCATTAAAGTTCAAAATGCAACAAAACAAAATTTGGAACTTTCTCCCGTCGGAATTTACTTAGCAAGTGAATTTTGGAGCCCAACAAACGAGAACCAATTGAAAAACAAGTGCTCTGTGACCACATCAAAATTCTCAAAGAATTTTCGTTAAAAATCCATCCAAGTTCAGAAAAGCATTATAAAAAAGTTACATATATGCTTGCTTGCTTTATAGTTAGAAAATGATTTCTCATACTTTTCAATAAAAAAGTATTTGTTTAACATACTTTGGTCATGCATGCGAGGGTATAATAATTAAAAATAAATATATATAAAACATTATAATTAAAATAAAAATATAAAAACTCATGCTAGCAGTTGGTAAAGTTTTAAATATTTTTTAACATATTTTAATCAAGTCTTACCCATAAGGAGATCTACCTACCTAATAATTTTTCTTTATAATTTTGTGTTATAATAATCATGTGGCATTTTTATTTTTTTATTATATTATATCACCTATATATTTTTTATTTCTCTTTTTTCCTTCTTATTTATTGAAGGGATAAACATTCCAAGCAATGTCCATTAGACATTTTCCTACTTTATTCTGACACGCTATATGCAGAATAAAGAATAAAGCAACCTCCAGCAACAATTGAATATTCCTCCCAACAAAAGGATCGAAACTTCCTCGTAGAATCCGCCGTCAAGGCCTTTATTTTAACGTTAGAAACCGTCAAACAGCTTCCTCACTCCGTCAACGTCGTGCAAACCACGCGCCAAATGTGCAAATAACGGCTCAATATTCTCACTCTTTATTTATCATTTGGTCAACATAACGGCTAAAATTCAAAACACACGAAACTACACCAACCATAAAAAGAAGCAACGTCTCTCTTTCTCTCACCTTTCTCTCATGTTTCCCATAATCTCAGGTATTTAAACATTCTTCTCCGTTTAGCTCCACCACTCCTCAACATTCTCACTCACCCCTTCACTCACATAAGAACCGTGTATTAGTATCATCATCACCATGTCAAGAACCGTAGAGATCACAGTTTTGTCAGCTGAAAACCTCCAAATGAATAAAAGATCCGTAAGAGGGAACACATTTGTGACGGTTCAATCCGATGCAAGCGTTGAAATGGGTACCACAAAAGTGGATTCTGAAGGGGGGAGTTACCCTTCATGGAATGAAAAAATTGTGATGGACGTGCCATTGCATGCAAGGTTCATAACCGCTGAGGTAAAGTGCAAAACATCATCAACGGGTTCCAACAGTGTTGGAATAACGAGAATACCCGTTTCTGATTTTCTTGGTGGCTTTGTACCCGAAAATCATTTGCATTTTTTAAGCTATAGGTTATGGGATAGTAAAGTTAGAAGAAATGGGGTTATAAATATTTCGGTGAGGGTAAAAGTGTCACAACATTCTTGTAATCCAAATCCTATGACTAACGTTGTGCCCGTAACGGGAGTGCCGGTTGCCGGTAATCGGTCTTCTGGAGTTGTAACGGGTATTCCAGCTGTTTGGTTAAACAAACCAAGAAATCTTTGAATGGTTTTGGTGTGTACTTTAAGAAAGAAAACATTCATTGTTTCTCTTTCTCGGTTTGCTGTAGAAAAATTACAACAAACAGTTAGAAGAGAGGGACTCACAAAAAGATTGAAAGATAAGAAAAGAAACTTCCCAGTGTTTTTTTCTTTTTTTCTCTCTAATCAAAATTATCACTATGTATATGTGTACTCTTTAAATGCTATTTTTTTAATCTAAAATTATAACAAGAAACTTTTATATTATTTTGAGATATATGTAGTTAATGTTGGTCATCTAGTTTTTTAAAATGACTGTATATATCTTTTAAAATGAGAAATATAATTTACATTTAAAATGATCCAATTATTTATTTATTTTTAGCTTATTTGTTATTAAAAGACTAAGGAAAACTTACGTAATGATTTCTCATTTAGGTAATCTTTCATCTGCCTAACATTTTCAAAAAGCCTATTTATGTGATGTCCTTTTAAAAATTAAATTTGTTAATGGTTAACACGTGGAAGAATATTATTAGCATTTGCCACCTGTCTTAAGCTTAATTTTTAGATGGATAGTGATTCTTTAATGATCAAACAGAAAAGAAAACAAAGTCTAGGTTTATATATTAGACTAATAATAAGGCAGTGATTCAAGTTATCAATATTATAGAAAGAAGGAAATTTAGACAACCTAATAATTTGAAACATGTGTTTGTACATCATAACAAGAACATGAGTTAAAATTTTATATTACTAAATTTTATTAAAAATACTATTTGTTATAAATCTAATATCTAAATAGTTATATCTAAAAAGATTATTTTTTATAATTTATAAAAATATAAACACTAAATAAAAAATTATAATAATTAAAATCAATTTTATCCTATTTTTTATCTGGTCATGAAATCCAATTACAAAGTTAATCGCCCCCCCCCCCCGGGCCTCCTTCAACACATTTCTAGAAATAATTTTTGTAAAATCTTATTTCAAGAAAATAAATCTTTATTTCATAAATTCATTTATAGAAATAGTTAATGATTCTGAAAATTAATTTTTTAAAGTGTAAAAATTTATTTTTAAAAACATAAAATATTGATTTTAGAAATTTACTATTAAAAATATTTAATAATTCTAAAAATTAATATTTAAAAGTGTAAAAACATAAATTTGAAAATTAATTTAATGATGCAATGAAAATTTGATGAAAGAGAAATAAATTACCCTTAATTCTATTTCCAATGAAGATTTTTTTAATAATTAATTTAATTAGTTCATTTTTCTTCACCTTTCAAACCAAGTTATAAATTCCAAAAATCATTTGCATCTAAATCCAAACAACTTTTTTCTATTTTAATCTTGTTTTGGTTATTAAATTCGAAAATCAAATTAGTTCGACATGCAACTTATTCTATAATTAAACATAATTATAGCATTACCATAAATTTTATTTCCAATCAAGATTTTTCAATAATTAAATTAATTATTCATTTTTCTTTACCTTTCAAACCAAAGTATAAATTCCAAAAATCATCTGCGTCTAAATCCAAACAAGCACTTTTATTATGTTTGGAATTAGGTGTGAATAGATAAAAATTTGCATTTATTTTGACACTCTTATTTAAAGTCATTATTTAAAAAAAAAAAACTTATTAGATAAGTAAATAAATAGTTGTTCCTCTGACGGTTACTCGCAGGTCACAAATAATTGTGCAGAGAGACTTGATAAGACACATAAACAGTGCTTCTGTGGAAGTACCTATTCATACAAAACTCATATACACCACTATCACACTTCTAACACCAAATATATAACCCATTCAACTTCTTGCATGATCAGACTACTAAGACGTTGACACATCTCATGACCATGAACATGTATCCAGTTCTGCATTGTTTTTCTGTATATAAGCAACTGGTTATCTGATGTTGAAGCATAATGCTAATGTTTTCTTATGAGTTAGTTAAAGGATAAAGACACTTAGCTTTCTTAAACTATTGCTATAGCTATATTTTTTATTCTCATTTTAATTTAAGCCCAATGTACTTTGATTTATCATTTTATATTATTATAAGTCTGTACATGGCATGTCAACGTATTATCATTTACAAGATAAATGGTTTGCTTTGCAAACGTCTAGCCTCTGTTTTATCAAGACATTGATGTTGATTTCTTTTTCAACAATATCTTCTCAGAAACTAAGAGTGTAATTTTGATGTATTATTATCATTTTTAAATTAATTATAATGAAATTTTAAAAAACTATATTTTCATTATATTTTAACTAAATTTAAAATGATAGAAAATTCAGTGTTAAAAAGACTCATCAGTTTTTATATCTTCAACTACAACTGTGATGTAGCCAAGAGCTCGTTTGAGTACAGTGCATTCATTAACAATGAAGTGTTGTTAGTGTTGTGTTGCTTGTGTCATGTAAGAGACTCTTACTTGTGGATCAAAACATTAGTTTAAAATGTTAAGGCATGTCAAAGAAGCTAGTTTTAAAGACTCCAAGAAATGCCAGAAAGGACGTTAGAATAACCCGTTCTAAATGTTAACTATACACCACTGTAACATGCATAATCATCTCTTCTTAGAAAGATTCAAGATTCGTGTGTAAAAGATATACATATGTTTATAATTTTTATTTTAAAAATTCAAAACATATAAGATTTTTTTTCATTTTTATGATAAAAGAAATAAATTTTATTTTAAAAGTATAATTTAAATGAATTTTTTCTATTATTACTTCTGTAATGTTTTTTAAAATAAAATAAAATAAAATTCTTTTAATTCACACAACAATTCATAATAGAAATACATTATAATTTAACATTACAAAATCATAAAGTTATTGATTTAGTTATACTACATTATACTTTGTGCATACGAATAACCATAAATTTTATTTTTATTTAAAACAAAATATACTTTCCTAACTTTTTTATACTAAAATAAATTTTTAAATTCATATAGAAAATAAAGATAATGATATACAGATTAATCTGCCATTCAAAAATTATTCTTATTTTTAAATAAAATGAAAAAAATATTTATTTGTTTTAATTATTTTAACACCATCAAGTGTTTATTTTATATATCTTTTAATAAGTTTTTTTTTCCTTAGAATTACGTAGCCTTACTTTTCCTTTAAGAAACACTTAAAAAATATATAAAAAAGTTCACATGGTGTAATTATTTTAAAAATTATTTTTTTCTCACAATTTGTTTTCGGAAGGTAAAATATGAAATTTATAAATAAAATAAAACTTGAATTTTTATCGAATTTAAAATAATCATTTGTACATGCATTATAAGATATTAATACTTTTAGGTACATGATCAGACTTCCAGACCATTTTTTAAGATTTTTAAAATTTCTACTGACAATTCCTTAAATTTATAATGATTTTTTTTCCTTTTTTTCAATTTATCATTTTCAAATTTTCTTCATAAGAGAGCTATGACGAAATTCTAGTGATTGATGGGGCGCAGATATAATTATTGTCGTGATTATACAAATGCTTTGAATTTCATTAATTTATTAATTTAAAAAATATTTAAAGCTTGCTTTATAATATAATTTTTTTACTAAATTTAAAAACTGCCCCCAAATATTCTCGTAAATCTAAAGTTAAATATAAATTAACAAATTTTACTGGTAAATATATAATTTTTAAAATATTATGATAAAATTTTAATACATAACATAATAGAACTGTTATAAGCCTATTAATAATTAATTATATTAATTAAAACAAATCAATTTATTACGATTTAATCTTTTAATTGATTTAAAGTATAAATCTTAATTATGCAGCTGCCTTAAAAATTTAAGAGATCTGTCTGATTCAAACAAAGTTATATTCTATATAAAAAAAATACTTATAGCTTAAATAGTAAAAAAAGTCTAACTTATTATTATTAAACATCTAAAAGAATAATTTAATTTATTTAACAAATAAAGTTATCTTATCTTAAATTTAATATTAGAGAACATACCTATTGTCATTTTTATTTAAAATATTGTTTGCTAGGAACATGCTTTTGTTTTACGATTGTTCCAACTTGAATTTCATTGTCTGGGTTAATTACTTTGCACCCGTGAAATCAAAATTAAGCTTAGCGTTCAAAACTAGTTAAAATCGTCGTTGCGGATGAATCCGTGAATCATGAAAAAACTAAGACTTTGGTACATTAGAGAATTCTATTTTATTTTTTTATAGGCAAAACAAATCTTATTAAAAGAGTTCAAGGGGAACTCAAAACACATATACACAAAAAATTACTTACTCAGAGAAATAAAAAGCAAAAATATACTTATGCAAAAGTAAGACAGATGCAATTTCGTGAGTTCAAATACCAATCAGTTAACATAATAGCTTCTCCCTTACTAACAAGTGATAATCATTTTCAGGATCTCAGAATAATAGAATCTATGACTTCCCTCTCATCTAAAACACCATTAAAAAATATAATTATATTTCTATGCAACCACAAAGACCACACTGTACTTACCCAAATACTTTGGATGATCAAACATGTTTCACATAATTAACTACCATTCTACCAAATGGTAGGTTAAAGTAAAATGTTTAGTTGTTGCTTGAGGTTTTCGACGAACATGCATATTAATTTCTGGTATGCCAATGGGTTTTCCAATCGGAAGCAACTACATGCTGCAAGACTGATTCCAAATGTTGACATGATCAATGTTTCAAGTCAATTTATGTGGTAATGCTTTGTACTATTATACAAACCCACGCTCCACACTTGTACTATCAAACAAACCCATGTTCCACGCTTTAATTTTTTTTTCTCCAAGACTATCGGAGGAATCAATGACGAAGTTCCCCTTTAATTTTAATATACTAAAGGAACAGATTGATCATGATATTAATATTGATAAGAAAAATATGGAAAAGACAAACTCTGTGTCACCTCTAATATTGTTGAGTAAACTTTTTATATATAAATCTTATTAAATATTTGAAGTTGTTTTTGTTGTAGTAAGACTCGTG